AGCTATGTCCCCTCTTGTACTCCTTTAATGATATAGGGGGTATAAGTTCGGCTGCGTCGCCCCGCTGCAACCCATCGGAGATTACGCTTTAGTTTCGGTATAGCTTTGCCGTAGTAAAAAAGCGAGGTGAGGCGGCGGAAAGACCGAATCCGAAACTATAACCCCTATTGTATTAAACAAAATGTAATACCGACCATAGCTTCGGTATCGGCGGCTGGGCCGCCTCACCTCGCCCTATTACGACCCATCTGAGATAACGCATCATTGTAGTAGCAGAGCGAGGCGAGGCGGCACAGCCGCCGAAGCCGAAGCTATGTCCCCTATTGTACTCCTTTAATGGTATAGGAGGTATAGGTTCGGCTACGTCGCCTCCTGGCCCCGTTGCAACCCATCGGAGATAAGGCTTTAGTTTCGGTATAGCTTTGCCGCAGTAAAAAAGCGAGGCGAGGCGGCGGAAAGACCGAATCCGAAACTATAACCCCTATTGTATTAAACAAAATGTAATACCGACCATAGCTTCGGTATCGGCGGCTGGGCCGCCTCACCTCGCCCTATTACGACCCATCTGAGATAACGCATCATTGCAATAACAGAGCGAGGCGAGGCGGCGCAGCCGCCGAAGCCGAAGCTATGTCCCCTCTTGTACTCCTTTAATGATATAGGAGGTATAAGTTCGGCTGCGTCGCCCCGTTGCAACCCATCGGAGATTACGCTTTAGTTTCGGTATAGCTTTGCCGTAGTAAAAAAGCGAGGTGAGGCGGCGGAAAGACCGAATCCGAAACTATAACCACTATTGTATTAAACAAAATGTAATACCGACCATAGCTTCGGTATCGGCGGCTGCGCCGCCTCACCTCGCCCACTACGACCCATCTGAGATAACGCATCATTGCAATAACAGAGCGAGGCGAGGCGGCGCAGCCGCCGAAGCCGAAGCTATGTCCCCTCTTGTACTCCTTTAATGATATAGGAGGTATAAGTTCGGCTGCGTCGCCCCGTTGCAACCCATCGGAGATTACGCTTTAGTTTCGGTATAGCTTTGCCGCAGTAAAAAAGCGAGGTGAGGCGGCGGAAAGACCGAATCCGAAACTATAACCACTATTGTATTAAACAAAATGTAATACCGACCATAGCTTCGGTATCGGCGGCTGGGCCGCCTCACCTCGCCCTATTACGACCCATCTGAGATAACGCATCATTGTAGTAGCAGAGCGAGGCGAGGCGGCACAGCCGCCGAAGCCGAAGCTATGTCCCCTATTGTACTCCTTTAATGGTATAGGAGGTATAGGTTCGGCTACGTCGCCTCCTGGCCCCGTTGCAACCCATCGGAGATAAGGCTTTAGTTTCGGTATAGCTTTGCCGCAGTAAAAAAGCGAGGCGAGGCGGCGGAAAGACCGAATCCGAAACTATAACCCCTATTGTATTAAACAAAATGTAATACCGACCATAGCTTCGGTATCGGCGGCTGCGCCGCCTCACCTCGCCCACTACGACCCATCTGAGATAACGCATCATTGCAATAACAGAGCGAGGCGAGGCGGCGCAGCCGCCGAAGCCGAAGCTATGTCCCCTCTTGTACTCCTTTAATGATATAGGAGGTATAAGTTCGGCTGCGTCGCCCCGTTGCAACCCATCGGAGATTACGCTTTAGTTTCGGTATAGCTTTGCCGCAGTAAAAAAGCGAGGTGAGGCGGCGGAAAGACCGAATCCGAAACTATAACCACTATTGTATTAAACAAAATGTAATACCGACCATAGCTTCGGTATCGGCGGCTGGGCCGCCTCACCTCGCCCTATTACGACCCATCTGAGATAACGCATCATTGTAGTAGCAGAGCGAGGCGAGGCGGCACAGCCGCCGAAGCCGAAGCTATGTCCCCTATTGTACTCCTTTAATGGTATAGGAGGTATAGGTTCGGCTACGTCGCCTCCTGGCCCCGTTGCAACCCATCGGAGATAAGGCTTTAGTTTCGGTATAGCTTTGCCGCAGTAAAAAAGCGAGGCGAGGCGGCGGAAAGACCGAATCCGAAACTATAACCCCTATTGTATTAAACAAAATGTAATACCGACCATAGCTTCGGTATCGGCGGCTGCGCCGCCTCACCTCGCCCTATTACGACCCATCTGAGATAACGCATCATTGCAATAACAGAGCGAGGCGAGGCGGCGCAGCCGCCGAAGCCGAAGCTATGTCCCCTCTTGTACTCCTTTAATGATATAGGAGGTATAAGTTCGGCTGCGTCGCCCCGTTGCAACCCATCGGAGATTACGCTTTAGTTTCGGTATAGCTTTGCCGCAGTAAAAAAGCGAGGTGAGGCGGCGGAAAGACCGAATCCGAAACTATAACCCCTATTGTATTAAACAAAATGTAATACCGACCATAGCTTCGGTATCGGCGGCTGGGCCGCCTCACCTCGCCCTATTACGACCCATCTGAGATAACGCATCATTGCAATAACAGAGCGAGGCGAGGCGGCACAGCCGCCGAAGCCGAAGCTATGTCCCCTATTGTACTCCTTTAGTGATATAGGAGGTATAGGTTCGGCTACGTCGCCTCCTTGTCCCGTTCCAACCATCGGAGATAACGCTTTAGTTTCGGTATAGCTTTGTCGTAGTAACTTTATGAAACTGATTAATTAAATAACTAATAATTCTGAGTATTAAATTACTTTAATTAAAAAAGCTGCAAGATTCATTTATTTACTAACGAGCTCTTAAACGGGGTTCGTGATTTTGTACTTTCTGTCCGTCCGTTCGCCTGTGTACATGATCCTCGCGAATGGTTTTGAATTTTCCAGTTCTCTTTTCAGTATTATGTTTATCGCCAAAATTTTCAGTGACCCAGGAGATCATTTGCTATATTTGTTACAAGTTTATTATTCCTTAAACTACGTTTAATCTTTTTTTAATTAATTGAGTCTTCAATTTATTTTTTTAATTTACAATTAACTAATTAAAATTTACCAAATTAAAAACCTCCAGATTGACGTGCAGAATTCGATTTTTGGTCTTAATGCTGAATTAATTGATCCTATTATTTCACTACTTAATTTAATTTTAAGCGTGTTCCTGCAAAATTGCTATTTTCTACTTAATACGGACCTTCGGGCTTCCAAAGCTTAAAGCTTCTCGAAAAAGATGGCATCCGGAACTCAATTTTTGATCAAATTTCTTAATTAAATAATTAACCTTATTCAATTTCTTTAATTCAAAAGGTAGGAAGGCGCAATTTATTATTTCGTAATCCTCGTGTAATCATTTTTTTAATTAATCATCAATATGGAAATCCGGTGTGGCCATTTTATGCTTCTCTATTTAAACTTACTCATTTGTAGGTATTTTCTTTTTTTTTAATTTAAATTTCTCAATTTTACGTGAAGTAAATAATTTTCTGCTTCTCACAGCGTTCAATTAAAAACCTTCAAATTAAGAGGCGATTTTTTATCTTAATTCTGATTACTTCACCACTAAATTTATTTTTTAATTGCTGCAGGCACATCCATCTCCCAAAAATTAAATATTCTGCAAAAGAGATCCAGAGATAGATCTTTAATCAAATTTCTCAATTAATTAATTAACCTGATTATACAATTAGTTTAATTAAAAGAGTAAGTTTCTTCAATTTATTGTTTCTTCAATTCTGTTTAACCTTTTTTTTTAAATAAAGAAATCGAATGCCCTCAATTTATTTTTTTTTAATTGAAACTTTTTAGTGATAGAGGATTGGCCTCTTATAGATTTCAAGAATTAAAAAAACTTTAAAATTAACTATCAACATATTGGTGCTTTCTTGAGCCGAATCAAATTTCGTTCCGCTCTGCCTTTTGGAACAACCCTAACTACATTCTTGCAACGATCAAGCAAAATAATTTTACCAAACGATAAAACAATAAACACTGGCGATTGCTCTAGTTTTAATTCAATAAGATAGTCACATAATTTGTTTGTTTTTTTAACACACCCGATTCAGTTTGAATTTGCTGGGTTTTTCGGAGAGAACGCGGAATCGATGGTGGAAAACTCAAAAATCCTCGTCTAGGACGGAATAGTTAACGACCCAGATGATAAAGCATTTCCTTGGCGGACGGGAAATAAAACAAACGTCGCGTTTATTGTTCTACTGCCGATAGTAAAACGAATCGTTCGAGCAAAATTCGCAGGTGGTGCAAACTTATATGGAATGTAGTGTGATAATTTAAGGGTAGAAACAAAAGCAACCTAAGATGCAATTAAAATCCTGAGATTTCCATTGGCTCTTTCGCTCGCTGCAATTCTCACCCTTAAGGACCACCAAATTAAGCGTCCATTTTCTAGGAGAGAGAGCCTTCTCTTCACATTTTGCTTAATGTTTCCCCATTTATAAAGTCTTAAATTTTAATTTCAATATACGTCGTCTCAACTAGAAGGAGTGCGAGCGATTGAAGTAAGGGAGGAGAGGCTGCGAGCGCCGTCTCCACGAAGAATAATTTTTCGCGCAAATTCCTACGGAATACTTCGTATTATACAAACAGAAACTTTAAGCAAAATACATAGTAATTTTATGTATCCAACGAAAATTTAGCTTTCTGCAAATAAGTCTGGTAATTTCGTAAGGAAATTGCTGTTTATTCTAGCAAAAGTTTGTTACGCCATGCTAGATAATCTCCAGGAATATTACGGTGGTTCTCATTTCCAACCCCCTCGTTTCTTTTCGCGAGTTTTTCCCCGCGCGAGAGGCGCGCAACCCTTTCCCCCCCGAAGAAGCCGCTCGTCGTTCGATTCTTGGTTCACCCTTACATAAAATCACATTAAAATTAACAACTAATACGATTACACCCGAAGAGCAAGAGATAATTAACGGAAATTCTATTAGAATTATTAATAACAACACGGGGAAAATTGGAAAATTGCGGTTATTGATTTATTATTTCGTAATTTATTAAATTATTATACTACGCGAGCTCTCGGATTTGTAGAATCATCCCCCGCGCGCGCTCCCTTAACAATTAGAAGTTACTTACGTGGGTTACGTGCTCGCGATGTCGCCGCCACAGATTTTCGAATCGGACTGAATAAAATATTCAAAAACGATATTCAAATATAGAGGCTAACCGAAAATTTACATGAGCCAGAACTAGAAAATCAAGTTAGCTTGTTGTGCCGGATGGTCATTGCAATTGTTTTCGAACGCGACTTGATGTCGGTAGAATCGTTGACCATAAGGGTGTTGTTCGCCCGAGGGGTTTTAAACTGACCCTTTCTTACGTCTAATACAATTCGCATACGCACCAGTTTCGGGAACAGGTTTCAAACTGACCACTCTGTATATTTTTTTTTCACGAAGCCGGACTCTATTCTTCCAAAAGGGAAGCGTTATTGTACATTTTTGAAAGGGGTTTGTATCGAAGAATGCGTTACCCGTATTCACACGGCGATAAGTAGGCCATGCAATGTTGCAAACAATTGAAAACTTAATTGCGTTCTCCCTAATTAGGGATTGTGCCATTAATAAACATTAATTCTTATCTTACATCCCCCTGGTCTCCTTTGCAGAAAGGGATGATATTAGAAAAATGAACGAGAGAGTTTAGTTCAATTCAAATTCAGTTTCCTGTACTTTCACCCTCCTGACACTATTTCCATTTTCTTACCGAATCAGGATTCAGGAGGTCAATTTATAAAACATTTTCGTATTCCTGTGATCCTAATACAACAATAATTCAAAGAAAAATCAGAACTCAGGAAGATGGAGAAGACCCCCTGCTTCTTGAAATCATATAATAACACATAGAACCTAAATAATTTATCAGGAGAACATAAGTGGGAAGTTGATGCCATTAAAATTTTCACCCTGTTATGTTTCATAAGGGAGGCAGAAGAAAAATGGGGAAGGTGGCGGAAATTATTATCGTCTCCTAACCAAAGTGTCTCATATCTTATGTTTTCCTAATAAAGATCTTTTGATTGACTCCAGAATGTGGAAAAGAGATGGAAATTAATCCAGAATCACAGAAATGAAGGAAGGGCCCACCTTTTTGCTTATTATCTTCTCCTAATACAAATTAAAAACTGTAACTCTAAGTGCCTTTATGGTAATCTTCTGGAAATTGCAATGGAACTGTCGCTGTGCTGGGGGGGTATTCCATACTCCCCGACCCCCCGGTAGAACTTTCTTTATTCCTAACCCGTTTACGATTCAGGGCTCGCATAACAGTTGTTGAAGAAGGATTATGCGGTCCTCTTCTCCGTACCGCCGAGAACGTAGCACCGGGGGGTTTGGGGGGGTATAGAATACCCCCTAGCAATACCTTTCGGCAACGAAAAATTCGATTACCATTTCTGGAAAGTTATGTTAAAGTGGCGGGGGTTCAAAAAGGCTAATCATTTTAAATTCTATCAGAACGTAACACAAGAGATGGGAATTTTGTATCAGGACAACATAAACCCTGAGTATCTGTTTTTATTCAGGGATTTATTGCGGTATCAAAAAGGTTATAAAAACGGGTTTTGCGTTTATGAGACCCTAGGACAATTCTGTAGTAAAATCTGGTATTAGGATATTAGGAGTGTTTACTGCTTAGGATGGACCCAAAATACCTCTTCTGATATCAAACAATAGTTGCTCCTCCTCATTCCTTATGGTGTCCTGATAGTTCGTAGGAAAATCACGAAAAACCTTTTAAGACCGTAATGACCGGTGATATTGAAAACCTTATCAAGAAGTGACAGGGGCTGAAACACTTCCTCTGGATTTAAGCAGTCGCTGTTCCTATTCGCCCCTTATGTTTCCCTGATAGTTCGGTTTTTGTGTGAAAAGTCACCTAAAACCTTAATCCGCAGTTGTATTAAAAACCTTAGCAAGAAGTAACAGAGCCCAAAATACCTGTTCTGGTCTCCAACAGTAATCGTTCGTACTCGACTGTTATAGCTTCCTGGTAGTTCGTTTTTTGTCACGGAAGCGGCGAAAGACCTAGAGCTTTAATTCCAGTAATATTAAAAACCTTAGCAAAAGGTAACAAGGTACCTCTTCTGCTATCAAACAGTCATTGTGCCTACTCGCTTCTTATGGTTTCCTGATAGTTTGCTTTTTGTGGCGAAAGTCATAAAAGACCTCCTAGAACCTCAATCGCCATTTAAATTAAAAAATCTTCGCAAGAAGTAATAGGGGCTAAAATACCTCTTCTGATCTCAAACAGTAACCGTTCCTTATGCACTCCTGATAATCTGAGTTTGGTCGCAGAGGTCCAGGAATACCTCCTAGATTTTTATACTCGCAGTGGTATCAAAATATATTAGCAGGAAATAATAAGAGCGTGGAGACGTTATTTTGACAATACATTTATGGGCATTCACGCCTCATCATGTGAATTTAATTTTAACATCTCAAGGAAAAGGGAATATGATACTTTGAGTGCAAATACCTCTTCTAACATCAGGCAGTAATTGTTGCTACTCGCTTCCTCTGCTTTCTTGATTGTTTGATCTTCGTCAAATCACGAAATACCCATTAGGACTTTATACTTTCCGAAAAAATTAGCAGGAAGTAACAGGAGACAAACACTGCATTGCCTCGTGTGCCCTCCTGATAGCTTCGTCCAAGTTAGAAATACACAAGAGGACTCCTGGAAGCTTAATCTCCCAACTATGTCGAAAACCTTAGTAAGAAGTAACTGGAATTTAAGTTATCCAACAGTAATTGTACCCACTAGCTCCGTATGCTCCCCTGATAGTATGTTCGATGTTAGTCCGAAATACTCCTAAAGCCATTTAGTCCTGTAGACAACACTTACACATTAGTAAGAGGTAACAGGGGATAATTTACCTCTTTTGAGTAATTGCTCCTACTCGCTCCGATCTCCTGATCTCAGACAGTAATTGTTCCTACTTGCTCCTTATGGTTTCCTGATAGTCCGGTTTTTGTGCCGAAAGTTATAAAAGACCTCCGAGAACCTTAATCCCCAGTGATATTGGAAACCTTAGCAAGAAGTAACGGCGGCTAAAATACCTTTCCTGATCTCAAATAGCAATTGTTCCTACTCACCCCTTCTAGTTTCCTGATAGTTCGGTTTTTGTAATAAAAGCCACGAAAGACCGCCTTAATCCATAGTGATATTACAAAACATTAGCAAATAGTAACAGGGACAAAAATACCTCTTCTGATCTGAAACAGTGATTATTCCTACTCGTTCCATTTGATTTCCTGATAGTTCGGTTTTTGTAAAGTCTCAATAGACTTCTTATGGTTTTCTGTTTTGACGAAAGTCACAAAAGACCACCTAGAACAGTAAAATTGAAAACCTTAGCAAGAAGTATCAAGGGCAAAATACCTCTTCTGATCTCTAACAGTAATTTTTCCTACTCGCTTCTTATGGTTTCCTGATAGTTCTCTTGCTTTTGTGACAAATGTCAGGAAATTCCTCTTAGAACCTTAATCCCCAGCGATATTGAAATCCTTAGCAAAAAGTGACAGGGGCTAAAATACCTCTTCTGATTTCAGACAGTGATTGTGCCTATTCGCCCCTTATGGTTTCCTGATTGTTCGTTTCAGTTGTTCCTACTCGCTACCTTACGGTTTCCTAATAGTTCGGATTTCTTCCGGCGAAAGTCGCTAGAGGCTTCCTAGAATTTGAATCCATTAATGAAAACCAAAAACAAACAAGAGCTATATACCTCTCTTAGTATCTAACAACTCCTAATATCCTGTTACAGATTCCTTTAAATTATTGTGCGAGGGTGAAGTGAAAAAACAAATTCAAATAATACAGTGATATAGCGTTAACGGGTTATGCTCTCCTGATATCTCATGATATAGGTCGAAACAGAAAATTCGGGAAAACCTAATAGAAACGTCACAAGGAAGAACCAATTTACGAAGAGGGACACAGAAAGGGAATGGTATATTAACATGCATAATAAAAGGGATAAGGGAAATAAAAGAGGGGGAAGGCGTACAGGAAAGACGAAAAGAAGTAGAGATGAAGGGAGTGAGAGAAAAGGAGCGCTAATATTTAGGGGAGATTTTAATGCCAAGTAGTAAAGGAACATGGGTAGAAATGGGAAGAGGAACGCAAGAGGTAAAGAATGCAACAAAGAGGGCAAATTGTTAGTGGAACTCACAGAAAAGAGAGGATGGAGAATACTAAACGGAGCTATGAAGGCAGACAGAGACAATACACATATATGGGTGGAAGATGGAGGTCGCTTTTTTTACATACTAGTAAAGGAAAAAAACAGTGGAAGAAATTAAAGAATGTAAGGTGGAAACAAAGACAAAATTAATATGGGAACAGAAAACTAAAGGGGAATGAAGAGATAAAACAAAGTAATGAGATTCTCGTATCCATTCAAGACCCCCCAGACCACCCCGTGTGTTTTCTCTCTCAAAACCTTAAGGCCTTAAGGATTCTTTTGAAAAATGCCAAGGGTAATAATTTTTGAATACTACGTAACCGGTGGGCCTAGGGGGTGTGGAATATTTCCAGGAAAGAGAGATTAAGTGTTCATTTCCCTACCACTATCATGAGATTCTCGTGTGCTGAGGGGTACTCCATACCCCTTAGACTCCCCGGTAATGTTTTCTTCCTCAAAGCCTTTAGGCCTTAAGGATTCTTTTGAAAAATGCCAAGGGTAATAATTTTTGAATACTACGTAACCGGTGGGCCTAGGGGGTGTGGAATATTTCCAGGAAAGAGAGATTAAGTGTTCATTTCCCTATAACTATCATGAGATTCTCGTGTGCTGAGGGGTATTCCATACCCCTTAGACTCCCCGGTAATGTTTTCTTCCTCAAAGCCTTTAGGCCGTAAGGATTCTTTTGAAAAATGCCAAGGGTAACAATTTTTGAATACTACGTAACCGGCGGGCCTGGGGGGTGTGGAATACTCCCAGAAAAGAGAGATTAAGTGTTCATTTCCCTATAACTATCATGAGATTCTCGTGTGCTGAGGGGTACTCCATACCCCTTAGACTCCCCGGTAATGTTTTCTTCCTCAAAGCCTTTAGGCCTTAAGGATTCTTTTGAAAAATGCCAAGGGTAACAATTTTTGAATACTACGTAACCGGCG